GCAAATACACCGCCTTGTGGCTCGCTCCCAGCTATCCCCCCCTTGATGAGCTAAACAGCACACCGACCAATTGCCTATTCTGCAGCTCGCGGCCGGCCTTGCAGTTGCTCCACATGGCGGGTTGGGCAGCACCCCAGTTCACAAGTAAGCCTCCTAGCTCCGCAGTTGTACTCCTCCTCTTCACAGGCTGCGGGTGTCGGCCAGCCTTCAGGCTAGCAGCTAGGCCGCTCTCCTCTCCGCTGCTTCAACAGGCAACTCGTCGTTCCTCAGGTCGCCTCCAACCCGGCTTCACCCTTCTCAGCTCCGACGGGCGGCACGCCAGCTAGCAGGTAAGTCTCCAGCTTCGTGATTGCCCCTCACTACTTCCATCGATAGGATGGGCAAGGTAGTGGTCAACAGGTAGGTTTCGACCAGCAACTGGCCTCGCGCTACTCGCATCGATAGACTGACTGGGAAAACGAATCTTCCGCTAGAATGCGGAACTATACGTCGCTGCCTCAATACCTTGTGCTCCGCTGCCCCACTGCTCCTGCTCTGTCCTCGCCATCACCCGTTCGAAGGTACGTGCCCTCCTCTCTCTCTCTCTCTGACCCCGCGGCTGTCTCACGTCACTACCTCGAAAGAATGAGAAAAATCGAATGAATCCTCCGCTAGAACGCGAAAAGATACAGGCGCACCATTGCCCCGTTGCTCATCCGCCCCCACAACTGGTTTGGTGCAGTTCTACAGGTCGCCTCCCCTCCCGCAGCCCCGAACACTGGAAGCGGACAGCTCATCGGCCCACCGGTAAGTCCTTCTTCCTTGCAGATCGTTGACTCCCACTACCCACTGAACCAGGGAGTCCCTCAGTCAAACATCCATTATTGTGTATAGGCGACACGAACACTCCGAACCGAGTGGTCTCCTACAACGTAAATCTCCCTACCTGCATCTCCCTCCCCCTGCTGTGCTCGTTCCGCATGCGGCTCCGCCCTCGATTCATGAACGCACTTGGCCGCCTTTCACGTCAGGTTCGATCAGCAACACGCAGTGATCATCCGGGGTGAAACCACGCGGCTGAAGGCCACGACTCACGAGCACCACTGTGGCATCAACGCACCACGGCTACAATCGGAAAGGTCGACCGCTTGTTCTCCCTAAGGCCCTTGGTCGCCTCCCCTAACCAGGTTCATGCGACTGGTATGGCAGCATGGGCGGGCAGGTAAAACTCCCTCGCCGCCTCCTTTCCTCTCGCCCCTCCTCCAGGTTCGCGCGCACCCCGCCTTGGTCAGACCAGTCTGTTGACAGGCTTCCAACACCGTAGCTTTGCGCAGTAAGCCCTGCCCGCTTCCCCATAGCTTTGCGCAGTGCTTCTTTCATCTAACTCTAAATCTACTCTCCTAACCCCGAAACTAACAGCGCCATTCAGCTCGCCTGCGGCCAAACCCCGAGCCCGCCTCTTCTCGCGCTCAAAACGGCCAAGGACCGCGCGTGCTACCTTCTCTCCGCTGCACCATGCTTACTTCCCAGCCATGCCACGCCTGTCTCTCTCACTTCCGCTGTCGTCTAGCTGCCGTCAACGCGGTGACGCTGCTGCCCAGCGGTTGGCCCAGAACAAAAAAAAGGGAATAAAAAATCCCAGTCGTCCGGACCGCCACTCGATTTATGCGTGTCATCCTCACGCAGGGGCCATCCTAGTCTCCTCTGTATCGTTGCCCTGAAGGACTTTCTGGCCGGGCGGCGCCCCGCGGCTCCTCGGGGTTGGCACGGCCGTAATACTGTCTTCCCGTAGCTCCCGAATCTGGCCCATATTTTAGGGTCTATACGCGCCAGCCTTGCGCCGGGACTAAACAAATCTTTCCCATATCGTACCACTTTGCCCGATGCCTCGTAGGATTTCGCACGAGGTCGTGGCCTGCGACCTACCAAAGGCCACCCTCCTTCCCGCGCCTGGCTCAGTTTGAGTCCGGGTTCACTCCTGGGTTCGCATATATTCCGAGCCGCATACACCTCTCCTACGTCGTGATTACGCGCATCACCCCGTACCTCGTCCGCTCTCCCCTGGCACGACTCTTTGACCAAGTGCATGTGCACCCTCGACGACCCCTGCCTCCGCTTCATGCCTACCTCCCTCGCTGTTGCGCTTCCTCCCTTCTGCGTATGCACCCAGTGTCCGGCCCCGCCCCGGTTCATTCAACTCTTCCTAGCGCAGCCTGGCCCACTCCCCGGCTCCAATCGGCTTAACAACGGCGCTTCCCTCGCTAGCGCCCGCTTGTTCGACTTCCGTGGCCTGTGAAAGCGAACCGCTAAGGCAGAAATAAGAACCGAAACAAAACAAAGACTGGGAACGCCGAGGTCCCCTCCTCGACTTATGTGTGTCGCCCCGCCCCGTGGCCACGCAAAAAGGGACCTCATCGGGGCGGCGCCCCCTTCGTACCGCTAAGCCAGGCGGCCTTTGTGCAGGCCCGTCCGACGAGGATCAGGGTTCCCTCTCAGGCAGCCCCGAATTTTGTCCACCTCCCACAACCCTGCCTGTTAGTACCACCGCGGGCCTTTGCAACTTCCTCGTAGCCGTAGCGCTCAACCCGAGCGCGAACCTGTCCCACCGCATCGACTTTCTCAGGGGTGACATCGAGGGAAGGGGGGGCTGACCTTCTCCGTACATGTCCTGAAGGACTCCGTCATGATAACACTCCGTCCACAGCCCCTCGAGTACAACATACCCCACGTGACCCAGCATTGGCCCGATATCGCTTCCCAGGACGGGGCAAAATAAGAAGGAGATTTAAAACGATAAAGACGGTAACCATAGAACGGGGATGTTAACGGGTGGCCATACAGATCGGGCCCATCGGGAAAACCAGAGGGGGATAGCCCCGCGGGACCCTCAACCCCGCTTCTCGCTGCTCCGTCGCTCCCTCGCCGCCGCCTGCTGGCCTCGAGCCTCGAACCTCCATCTCACGAACCCGACACCGTAACCAATAGGGCTAAGCGCAAGCCTGGTATCAGCAGGCGCGGCCTCCCATACAGACGGTACCGCGTGGTGCCCCTGGCCAAGATACCGCTCCGACCACTCTTCTCAGCCCACATTTGTATCTATGGCCCCTAGGTGCCCACGCCGGATCATCGCCCCGCGCCGTGGCCATTTCATGCGCCTACCGGCACGCCGATCCTACCGTCGGTCGCGCGCGGCAACCAAAACGGACTTTCACCCCCTAACCAATCTCATGGCCTAGTACGGGTCGGCCGGCTACCCCGGCCGCCCACTCAATCAGAAAAATCACACGCGCGCCTTAAAATTGCGCGCCCCCATACCTCCTACCAGGACAAGGCAGCCCTTTGCCCACGCGCTGACGACCCTCAAAATCCAGGTTAACTGAGCCTTTCTGTCACTTGCAAAAACCAGGGCGGATACCCTTGTAAGGGTATTCGCGCCGACACCGCCCACCCAAAATATTTTTTGAAATTTCAGCCCCATGCCCAACCCGCCCACCACCCGAAAAAGGTCCTCACCCGGACCCACCCGCAGCCGTGAGAGCATTATAACCCGCCTGCACCCAATACCTATTTTTTTGTCGTTTGCACCCACTTGTGCCGATGCAGCCCTGGCCACGACTCCACCGGTGTTGCCACCTCTCTACCTTGCATCGCTTGCCAGCGTCACTCTGTCATGGCGTCGCGCAGCAGTACGGCCAGGCAAGTTGGGGGCGGGCTCCCGAATTCGCCAAGTTCGCTAACCAAGGGCGAAGTTCAAAGAGGATGGATCAGGCCGCCTATTGTGGCTAGAACCGCTCCCTCCTTGTTTTAGAGAAAAACTGGGCAAGGGGCTGAATTGCTGGAGTACGCTGTTTTTTTTTTTTCTTGGCCCCGATGTAACATGCGACCCTGCATGACTGTACCCAGGC